GGTCAAATTGGGTCGACCCGTGGGTCAACCCGCAGGTTGACAACCTTGGGTCTGATACATACCAACTAGTATAGCACACCCTAAAGGAGAGATGGAAATATTGGGAAAGTGTATATGCGTCCATTTAAACGTGGCCGAGTGCAGGACTAAAGTGAGCCGAAACTGAAGTCCAATAAGAGGTGCAAACGGGAGCCCACTTGGTCATAACTTTCTCAAGGTCACAGCCCATGGGCCCAAAATCATCCCAAAGAATCCATAAACATCTCAACACTCAAAGCACACAGAAATTACTGTCGATATTATTAAGGAGACCGAGACCGACCCAAAACGACAGCTCCTTCGCCATTGAATCCCATAAAAACGACCGGACCGCCATTAGAATATAACATTCCTCTCGCCATTACGAATTTCAATTTCCCCACCCCTAGCCTGCGCGCCAGAATTATCATTCATCACATATTATAATCACCTGCTCCGAATTGCTTCTTCACTAACGAAAGAGAAGTACTAATTAAGCATCATCAACCTGTTTGACAAATTTTATCTAATTTCTATTTGTTGTTTGCCGATCTATTCAGTTCATATTTTCTGTTCGGGATGTGTAGAAATTTATGCATTGTACCTTTTTAGTGAGCAATGATGAAGCTCACTCTAGCCAGCTAGCTTTAGTGAGCAATGATGGCCAAAATCAAGCCATGTAGAAGTAGATGAATCATAATGTAAAATTCCCCTACGTTGTTCTATCTTTCAATTCTTTCCATATGCTTTTACTGGTTTATGAATCCGCTATTCTGTCTTACTTTTGTCTTAATAGTATTTGCGGATAGTTGCGGTAAGCTATTTAGTTTAACATTAGTGTTCCACTTTGCAATCTTTTGGTGTTTGGTTTGGTCCAGGGTGTTGTTTAAGTTGGGATGGGCAAAATGTTTGCTCTGGTATGGATTAATAGCTTGAACAGTAGGTATCAGTAAAAATACCCTTCTCTTAATCCTTTGAAAGTTGCGGAATTTACTCTTTGTTGTTCATGTTGCGTTTGTACGTGCTGCACTTTGGGATAAGGTTGAGAGTAGTATCCTCATCTATTTTAACCAAGTGTCGAGTTATACATATACATTTGTTACAACTAGGACTTCAATGTGAATGGAAGGATTCAAATGTCTTCACCATCGGATTAATCAACTGTGCCTTCTATCATGACCTCTCTTCAAACTATCGTAATTAAACAAATAACTCTCCTATGTATTGTTCATGACTCTCTTTCTCCATAGAGCATCATATAGTTTGAGGTTTAAATACTAATTGTAGGAGAGATCCGTTGCAATTAGTATGTTTGGTGTAGATATGCTTTTGAGAAGCACAAGGTTGTAGCCATGGATGGAGCTTTGAGGAAGTAGGCTTTCTTTTGAGTCTTTTGGGTAAGTGATGGTAGAGAGGTGGACTGTTGTTCTGGAGGCGATGGAGGAAAGAGGCGACAAGATGACTGAAGACGATAGAAAGCAATTGCAAAGAAACAATCTCCTTGGAGCCGGAAGGGTTCTGCAGCAAGTCAGCAACGTTTTGGTGGAGATAGAAGCAACTGAAAAGCAATGTCGTGGAGGTGCTATGGTTACTTATTGATTTTACTCATGTGGTGCTTTTTCTCATGGTTAAGAGACTGTTGTAGAAAGGATGATGGCAGAGGAACACTAGAGTTGGAAAGTGGTGATATTGCTTGTGAAATATACCTTCCTATATCGGCTTCATAGTGTCCCGGGATGGCCCAAAATTTTCGGTTGTTCGAACTAAAAGATGCCACAAATAGGTTCAAGGAGTTCAATGAACTTGGGCATGGAAGTTATGGGTTTGTTTACAAAGCTGTTCTTACATATGTAAGGTTGGTCGAAGTTAAAAGAGCAAACGATGCAACTATAATCCACACCACTAGTAGGGACTTTGTAACGAATTTAGAAGTTCTGTACAATGTTAGACATTTAAAAATCACCAACCTACTGGGTTACTGCTCGAAAATGGGGGAGACTTCTGGTGTATGAATAATGATGCATCATGGTGCTTTGCATGATCATCTCAACAACAGGCTTAGCTTTCGATCACTGGATTGGACCCTTTGTTATTTTTGTGCACCATGTTTGTAATGTTTTTTATGATTAAAAAAGGAACAACCCGGTTGACTTTTGGATGGAACTCCTCTATATAGAGATGGAGCCTCCAAAGTCAACCAGGGCGTTTTTCCATTTTGTATGATTTGTCGGTCTAGTTTGTTATTTTTATCCACCATGTTTGTAATGTTTGTATGTCTAAAAAATAACATGGTTGACTTTGTGACGGAGACCCTCTATATAGGGATGGAGCCTCCTAAGTCAACATGGTTGTTTTTTCATTTTGTATGGTTTATATTGTTTGTCGGTCTAGTTTGTATTATTTGTACAGTTCGTATGTTTTGTATTGTTTGTAAATCTGTTTGTATGTTTTGTCGTTTTAGTTTGTATTGTTTGTAAGTCCGGTTTGTATACTTTGTAATTTTTCATAATATCCAAATTACCCCTGCCACTAATTAAAAATCTATTCCCACTTTTTAACCATTGAATTGATTTGTCTAGATCTAATGGCTAGTAGGAGCTTAGTCAAGTGACTAAAGACCCTTTGATCATGAGATCCGCTCTCGAAAACCAATTGCACATCATCATTCAAATACAATAATCTGTAGCTTCAATTTGGCAAAAAATTGTGGATTCGCGTTAGGATCCCTCCTAAAGGGGATTCAAATTGTGATTTTGTACACTATTCTTTGTAGTACAAATCATCTGCTGCTGCCCAATTGCTGTGAAATAACAATAGCTAGGTATTTGATTCAAAACAGTCAAAATTGGGATTTTACCTAAAATCAAAAATTGAGGTAAAATCGAATTGTAAAATTGTAGGATTTTAAGTTCCATTTAGAAACTAACATATAATCATATTAATAAGGTAAGTCATTTCATAACACAAAGACACATAACATTTAAAATGATAATTCTCAAGATTAATGTTCCAAAATTATCATTTTAATTGTTTTTAATGCATAACTCAAAATAATTCAAGAGGAAAGGATAGAGATCATGGGGCTTAGCTCTTGTTTTTCATGTTGTGTCTAGGTAGTTTAACTCAAATTATTACTTCGGCCCGGTTAATTTCAACATCATTTGCTAATCATGATTTAAAACTAAGAATAAAAGAACTCCAATAGAATAATTAATGCTAGTTGTGGATAAAAATATAATCATTAGTTGTTAATAATGATGTTAATTTTTACGTACGTACAATATTAGGACAACTATTTTACCGATGAGTTCAACCGTACGAAGGGAAAGGGATTGAACGAGCCCTAATTTGATTATTTTTTATCTTTTCAAATGTTTTTTAATAGAAAAAATATCTAAGAAGATGCCCATCATTGTCCTTTCTGCCGAAGCAGTTCCGCTTTTTTTAAATTTGCTCAAACCTCCCATTTTGTTCTCATACGATTTAAATCCCGATTTTGGTTCGATTTTACGATTTTAATCCCAATTTTAAACGATTTTAAGGTCCACCAATTTTATAGTAAAATCAAGATCGGAATCCCTAAGTAAAATCTTAAAATCCTACGATTTTACGATCAAAATCTTGATTTTGACTACTTTGTTTTGATCAGTAGTCCTAATAATGGGCAGGACCATTTTTGTGCCTCTTGTGTTGTTCATGAAGGGATCAGACGGATGCTATAGCTAGCTAGGGCTTTGACTTGATCCTTATCATTGTAGGATCTGTCCCCCCCCCCCCCCCCCCCCCCCCCTGAGTTTCCTACCCAGCAAAACCACGAGGATTAACAGAGTGTGGCATTATTATTTGTCTGTCTTCCTAGTTCCTAAGTTTCAGCTCATTGCACACAAATCCTGACTTGATGCCAAGTATCTGATTGAGTAAATTTTATAACTTGTTGGTTAATAAACCCTTCTGGTCCAAGTGACTTTCAATGTGTAGAAAAATGGATTAGTGGGTTGTAGAGAGAGAGAGGGAGAGGGAGAGGGAGAGAGAGTAAAAAGAAGATTCCTGAGAAAAAGGGTCCAAACAGAAAGGTGGTGGGCAATTCTTGTTGAGGCAAACACCAAGCAAGCACAAGCAAGTGCTGTGCTGTGGTGGTAGTCTTGTGTCTCTGACAAACTGCCTCTCTTCTTTCTTTCTTTCTTTCTCCCTTCTCTTGCCTCGTGAAACAGCTTTTCTATTTTGCTTACCACACAGTGGTGTCTTTTGTCCCATGTGAAGAACCATCATTCTCAAACCTTCACCATACTGATGAAAAAGGAATATTAATCCGTAAAGGAATTTTAGCGCATGTCTTTGAGCTACTTGTCATGGGAATCTCTGCTCTCCTCTCCTCTCCTCTGCTGCCCTGCCTACCCTATTGCTTCTTACTTTTATTGGCAAGCCAGGAAATCACACTTGCATGGTTTGCCTTTTTCTGCTTACTGTTCAGAAAGGAGCAAACTCCTTTTGAGTTGGGAGCCGGGGAGAGATCACCAATGGCAGATTGGTCTTCCTTCCTTCACTCCCCTGTTTGTCATATCTCATAGTATGCTTCTAATGGCGAAAACTGAAACTTCCCACATACCAAAACCAAAGCAGATAAACAACAGAGCACCTCATTGGTTCTTTCACTAAGCTCTCTTCAGAGGAATGCTTACAAGGGTGAGAATAAATGTGGGCGGTTGAGAGAGTGATAAAGATTTTCTTTTCTTCGGGTTTTTTGTTTTTTTTGTTTTTACCTTTCTCTTTTCTCTTCTCTTGTTTTTTCTTGGAGAAGAATCGTATACTCATCCAAGCACTTGCAGACAAATCCGTTTCAGGAACAGCAGAAAAAAGAACCACAGCACAGCACAACAAAGCACGCCCTCTCCCTCTCTCCCTCTCTCTCCCTCACTCTGCTTTTTGACGTGAATTCAAGCCCAAAAAGAATCTAAAGAACAAGAAGAAAAAGGGGGAAAGATATGTTAAAGTCCATCTCTATATATCTCCCCCTTCAAATCTTCACCATCACTCTCTTTCAGTTTGCAAGTGCTCTTAGAGAAACAAGAAGAAGAACAACAACAACAACATCACATCCCCACACACGCATCATTCACACACCCTTGGTGCAGGTCGTGCGTTGTGGGTTTCTTGTTTCCTTCCCTATTCGTGCTTTGTCCCCCCTACTACGTGCCAAATTGGCCAACTCAAAAGCTGGCCGAAAGGCAGATCAAGAGAGTCTTCCAAGCTCAGCTCAACTTGAGAGTACCGAGTATTGGCCCTCAAGCCAAACCCGCCCTTTCTTTCATCTTCTTCCACCTCTTTATTTACTCATCACTAGCCATTCTCAAAACCTCACATAGCATTCTCCAAAAGAAAAGGTTTGAACTTTCTGGTTTGCTTCAATAAGGTTGGTTAGGTGGTCATGGTGATGGTGGTAAGTTGTGGGCGTGCCTGGCTCCCTGTATGCCATTTGCAAGAGCTCATCAACACAGTTTTGGTGGGGCTTGGTGGATGGCGTGCGAGGAGCCATGCATGCTTCTGCCACCCAATATCAACTTGCCATCTTCCCTTCCTCATATTGAATCTCTGTGCTTCTTTTTAGGTTGCAAAACTTAGAATGTTGCCATTCTCGCAGCAGCAGCAGCAGCACTATGGCCCTGGAAGTGAAAGGGCTGCCTGCTGCTATTCATTCAGATATAGTTTTCAAGTTCAGAACTTGGGCTCCCACTACTTGGTTTTTGCTCTTAACCTTTTCTCCCCCTTTTCAACTACTATGTATATCGCACTTTCCTTCGAGTTTTACAAGGGATGTCTCCTTCAAAGTTCTGTTTTTTTTTTCCAACTTTTGATTGGTCAGTTTTAGAATCATGGTAGGACCTATAAAAGATTAGATCTTCTTCCTCCCTGTCTGCAGCTCCTATATTCATGGCAAAGAAAGCGTTTTTAATGGCTAGGGCCATTTTATTTATTTAGCAAATGACAGTTTTTTTACACATCTGAAAGAATGCAATCATCATTCTATAACTTGTATGCTTCTTGTTAGGACTTAAGGAAGCCAAAAAAACCTGTCCCCTATTTGCCCACTTGCTTAAACATGTTATATATGTGCAAAGATTGTAACAAAAACTCACAAGTCAAAAATGTGCAGTACTTTGCAGGCTTGTGGTGGTTGAGCTCCTTGAAGAACTAGTCTGAGATGTGTACCGTTTGTGCAATCTAATCCCCATTAGATCACTAAGGTGCCCAGGTTCAGAAATCTCGTAACTAGCCTATTCGATTTCATTGCTCAATATCTGAACCACGGTTGACATTGTAGGCTGGCGCTTGGCGGTTTCTTGCACACAAAGAAGGCTGATCTTCAAGAGCCGTAGAGCTTCTTCTTCTTCTGGGTAGTTCATATTCAGAGCAGGATCTACTATCTGCAGAAGCTTCTTTGCTCTGTAATTGCTCCAAGCCTGCATTTATTCCATTCAAAACCCAAAATAAGAAGGCTGCTGCCTGCTGCCTTGTATATCGTAGTTACATTCGTCATTAGAAGTTCATGTTTCGTTGTGCAGTATATTTCCTACCTTTTGAACCATGTAATGCTCTCCAAGTTCAACATCAAAATCTACAACTGATCTACCGCTTATAATCTCCATGAGCAAAACGCCGTAGCCATAAACATCTGATTTTCGTGTCAAGTGGCTGCTGACAGCATACTCCGGAGCAAGATAACCCCTTTTAGCAAATAGTAGATAAAACTCATTCATTAACCATCAATTTAATCAGTTTGGGAAGAAAGCGTAATGTGCTCCCATTTTCACACTTACAATGTTTCAGCAACTCTGTTGTCTCTCAGAATTCTAGAGAGACCAAAATCTGAAACTTTGGGTGTAAAATTATCATCCAGTAGTATATTGCTTGCTTTAATGTCTCTGTGCAACACATTAGGCTTGACCTCTTCGTGAAGATAAGCAATCCCACAAGCAACCCCAAGTGAAACATGCCGCCTGGCTTCCTAGCTGAATTTCATCCTGTTCTGCTCATTGCCTAAGTGGGTGGGGGGAAATACAGGGAAAAACAGAAAACTCACATTGAGAACTGACTAATTCGATGCTTCAGAGCCAAAAGACAGAAACTTTTACTCTTGGCAACTAATTGAGACAATTTACCAAGCAGTGTATGTGCAAGGCTGTTGTTCTCCATATACTCAATAGACCAAATACCGATCCGACCCTTCTTCACAACATCCTTGGAGAACGACGAGGTTGTCATGTCTGAGGTTGGAAAGTGCAGATAATTCAGAAACGAACTCTCTCTCCCCGCGCATCGATTCTACCTCTACAGAAAGAACCTTCACAGCCACCATTGAACCATCTTGGAGCCGACCCTTGTATTTTCCCTGTAGGAAGTCAAAAGAAACACTAAAGCCATGAGACCAATAGATGGACTAAAACAGTGAACCCTAAAGCAAAAGGAAAAGAGAATTGCGTTGCTTTGTAAACAGAGCCGAAGCCACCTTCCCCAACCTTGTTTACAGAAGAGAAGTTTTGAGTCGCCAGTTTTAGTTCTTGCAGACTGAAAATCTCAAGTTACCTTCTTCGCCTGGAAATACAAATACAGTCGAACAGTTGAATTGAGCTCTGAAAACGAAGAACATCAAGCAAAAAGAAGTATCAGTAACTGGGAATGGAACCGCATAATTTTCTCACCAATTCTGGTGGTGGGTTGTAGTTCTGGAGAGAAGAAGCCACTCAAGCGGCACAATTTCAGCTTCATAGCATATCCACAATTGCTGCACATTTATTTATGCCATAAGTCTCTATGGAAACAAAATTCTCCTGCATAAAGATTTGCTTAAATGCCAAGGAGGAACTGGACTGGAATCCTTGAGGTTACAGAGAAGGAAGGACGAGGACGAGGACGAGGACGACTCTCTCGGGTTGGGTCGGGTTTTGTCAAATCCAAACTTATGGGTTTATCCGTAAAAAAAAATTAGAATAAAACCCACTAGGTTTGAAATTCTCAAACCCAACCCAATCTGTTAGGTATCCGGGGCATAGAGGTGGACATCCGGTTCGGTAAACCCGAACCGGATCGGACCGAAACCGAACTCAACTGAACCGAACCCGAATTCGGAAGGAAAAACCCAATACTTCGGAAACCAGAGTGATGGCAATGGGGCGGGGCGGGGTGGGTACCTCAATTCCCATGCCCCGCCCCACGCTACTACGGGTCGGGGCGGGTAAAACCCGCGCGGGTACTGGGCGGGGCCGGTCGACCCACTCTTACATGTTGTTAAAAAAAATACAAGTAAAATTTTACTTTTTACAACAAAACGTAGGGAAAAACACTTTAAGAATGAAAAATATTGATAATAGAATGGATAATTGAGCCTAACAAGTTGAAAGATCGACTCTAACTAGTTGAAGAAAAATTAAAATAGGAGAAATATGTATAGATATTGTAAGAAATTGAGATAAAATGAGTCTAGAACAGGGCGGGGCGGGGCAGGGCGGGGGCGGAAGTAGATACCCATGCCCTGCCCCACGCTACTGCGGGTCGGGTAATACCCGCCCCATCGCGGGTCAGGTCGGGTAATACCCGCGGGGCGGATTGAAATTGCCATTACTTAGCCAGGGTCTACCCAACCGAAACCGAATTCTGAATTTCGAACCGACCAACCGAACTTACCCAAATTCTAAGCCCACAACCCCAAGCCCACACAAGCCCAAGCCCAAGCCCGCTACATCTATTTACCCATTTCACTAGTCAATCCTAGCCCACCCAAACCTCACAACAATCAAAAGTGGAGGGATGAAGCTTACCCGTGTTGACCGGATTGGGTCGAATACAATACTCGTGGGTTCGGGTTTTGTTGTTATCCATATCTCTAGGTACTTGAGGTCCATTACTTGACTCCTTCAACTTTAGAAGTTTTCTTTTTATAGAACTTTAGAAGTTTTCAATTGGGTAATGACTATTTATTAGCCAAACCTTTTTCGGATTCTTTTTTATTAGCCAAACCTATCGAAATACTAATAATTAGCCAAATGTTAACTTCCCGTTAACAATTTTGTTATTTATATTGATTTGGCAACATGATACTGACTTGGAAGATACACATGAAGGTCAACATTCTAAAATTTTAGTATTTTAACTAAGAAAATAGTTACAAAATTATTAACGAGAACGTAAAATGGCTAATATTTTGATGCATTACGAAACATTTGGTTAATTTATAGCATTTTAATAGGTTTGGATAATATAAAAAAATCTAAAAAAGGTTTAGACAAAAAATAGACATTACCATTTCAATTTCGTGTTTGTTTATTGAAACTTGTTAGAAAGCTAGGTTGGGGTCCGACGCCTGCGGGGAAAATTGGAATGTTTATATACTAGGAGGTATATGAGAATGATTGGCAAATGGTAAATGGCAATAACACTTTTATTTTATAGACAGTCGATGATTTTAGTAGAGCAACTTGGGTATATCTCTTGAAATTTAATTCAGATGCAGGTCGGTACATTCGTGCATTTTGTGAGCAGGCTAAAACTCAGTTTCACAGTCCAGTTCATCGTATACAAGCATCCAATGTGTCTGAATTTTAGTTTACTGCGATGCTGGATTACTATGAGGTTAATGGAATCATTTTACAGACGTCTTGCACCGATACTCCTCAACAAAATGGTGTAGTCGAGCGAAAGTATCGTTCTTTACTTGAGACAGCGCGTGCTCTGCATTTTCAGGCTTATCTGCCGGTGCGTTTTGGAGGGGATGTGTGCTGACGGCGACTTACCTACTAAATCGTCGACCAGTCAAGGCCATCAATAATCAAACCCCTTATGAAATGTTGTTACATCAACCTCCATCGCTTGATAATGTCCAGGTGTTTTTTTTTTTTTTTTTTGTGGAGATGCTCAACTGGTTATCAAGCACGCTATGGCAAAGAACGCTTCTCATTCTCGAGCAGGGGCTGTCTTGGAGGAAGTTCACTCTTTTTTCTCCTTTTTTGAGTCAGTGTCGTGTCTTTTTGCTCCTCGGAGCTTTAACAGAGCTGCCCATGTAGTGGCTAATCAGGCTCTCTCATCGGGAATCCGCTTGCTTACGGATTACCGTCCTTTCTTGGAATCTTCTTGTACCTGAGTCGAGTCTTTGTCCCATGCCCTCTGGGCTTGCCTTGGAAAAAAAAGATCTCCTGGTGTTTGGGTGTCTAGCTTATGCGAAAGATGCCCATCACGGACTGGATAAATTTGCTGAACGAGGGCGTCCTTGCATGTTCATTGGGTACCCAACATTGCCAATGGGCTACCGAATTTATGATACACATACACGTAAGATTTATACGTCCCACTGATGTAGTCTTCATTGAAAATGTCTATCCTTATGCTCCATCTTCGCCTAGTCCTCGTCAGCCACCCATGGACCACATGCAACTCACGTATGCAAGTGATGATGAGGTGGAAAGTGATGAGCAGCGGGAGCCCCATATTGTTTTTCCGGTCGTTGTTGGGTCTTCAACACACTCAGTTGACAATCAGGCACACCAGGACAAGACGATGGTGACATAGGATGCGACGTTTTCCTCTCCCTCTCCTGCGCAGGTTATTCGTTGCAACTATCGAGTGCAGCAGGTTTCCACCCGCCTCGCAGGCTATGATGTTGACTTGCCCCCTTTCGTTGCTTCACACATCCACTATCCCATGTATTCACAAGTAACATAACATCATTTTCATCCTACTCACTATGCTTTAATTGCAGCTATTATCAAGGACTGTGAACCTTAGTATTTTTATCAAGCAATTCGAGATGAACGATGTTGTGCAGCTATGCAACGTGAGTTTGATGCTCTCTTTGCCAATCATACGTGGGATTTGGTTTATTTGCCTGAGGTATGCATGCTATTGGTTCCAAGTGGGGTTACAAGATAAAATATTACACGGATGTCACCATTGAACGGTTCAAGGCGTGTATTGTTTCCCAAGGGTTTACTCTACATGAGGGGATTGATTTCCACAATAAGTTTGCTGCGGTGGACAAGTTAGTTATTGTAAAATGTCTTCTAGCAGTTGCGGCTCAACGTAACTTGACTTTGGAGCAACTCGATGTTAACAGTGCTTTTCTGCATGGCGATCTTGACGAGGAAGTGTATATGAAGCTACCACAGAGATTTGGTCAACCAGGTGATAATCGTGTGTGTCAACTTTGCAAGTCTTTGTATGAAGTTCGACAAGCCTCACGAAACTGGTACAACAAATTCACTAGCGCACTACTTCATATGGGCTTTGCTAATTCCCATGTCGATCACTCCTTGTTCATGTATCGCACGAGGTCGTTTTTGTGGCAACATCGATTTATGTGGATGACATTGGAATGGGTGAAAATGGTCGTGCTTTTATTGACCGTGTCAAGCTGTTTGTACATTCACGGTTCGACATTAAGGACTTGGGGCCATTGAAGTACTTTCTGGGCATTGAAGTTGCTCGTTCTTATGAGGGTCTCGTGCTTAGTCAAAGCAAGTACGCGTTGGACATTTTTTTCTAATGCGGGTTTCACAAGTGCTCGGACTAGTCAGTTTCCCATGGAACAAAATCATCAGCTGACGAAGTCGCTTCCTGATTTGGATCCTGCTATTGATGTCTCTGCCTATCATCGCTGGTTGGCCGGTTGATGTACCTCACTGTCATGCGTCCCGATATCGTCAATGTTGTCAACATTCTTAGTTAATCGACGACAGCTCCTACTTCGGATCATTTGGAGATAGCCCAATGCTTGTTGCATTATTTAAAATGGGCGCCTGGTCAAGGCCTTTTTCTTCCCACCATAGGTTTCGTTAGACTCGACTGCTTTTTGTGATGCTGACTGGGGAGGGTGCTTATGCACTCGACGGTCTACGACAAGCTACTTTATTATCTTAGGCTCGACACCCATCTCTTGGCGCACCAAGAAGCAGATGTGGTGGCTCAATCATCAGCCAAGGCTGAATATCAAGCGATGGCAACCACTGTGAGTTGTTATGGATTCGATGGTTACTACGCGAGCTTCTGTTTCCTCAGTCTGGCCCTACTGTACTGTACTGCAACAACCATGCGACACTTCATATAGCGGCTAATTCCATCTTTCATGAGCGGACGAAGCACATCGAGATGGATTGCTACTTCGTTTGCGAGATGGTTGTGTCTCGTGACATTGCTCCGTCCAAAGTCCACACTCTGGAGCAGTTGGTAGATATCTTCACCAAGGCGTTAGGGGCCAACCAGTTCCATTCCTTGCTTTCCAAGCTGGGCATTCGTGATCTTCACGCCACAGATCGAGGGGGATTATTGTGATACTTCCATAGTATACAGATGCTTATGTAATTTTCCCTTTAAGTCTTTTAGTTTTTGGCTTAACCCTACGGCTGTTGGAGGGTCTTTCTATGTCTCTTGTACTCTTGGTTGCGGTAACGTGTGAAAGTGCATCAAAGGTGAATAATAATACTCTGAAAGCTCCTTATGGAGTTTTCCGTGAAGTAGTCTCGTTCTTCACAGAACGGGTGAAACCACATGAACCTGAGTGTCCTTTTCTTTGTGGTTTATCTAGTTTTACATTGACAAAAATCGATTAATAGTAATTATTTTTTGTTAGTGGGTAACCACTAACCAAATTACCGATTGACCGACCAACTATCATCCTACCCATATTTAGGGTTACAATAGTATAATTCAATTTTTCAAATACATGGAATTCGAACATAGGCAATTTAGACAAATCACCCGATAAAAACAAAGAGTGGAGAAATTCCCTAAGCCTAGTGCTTAGAGGTAGGCGCATTAACAAGGAGAATAATTGTTAATATTATTATGTAAATATTTATATTTGGATGACCAATGACCTACCACATTAGATGCTCACTTGGGAGTTACATGTAACTCCCATTCCTATATTATTATCTCTAATTCATATGCATTGATGTAA